CCCGTCTTTTCCAGGCAGCCTCTCTCTGGCCTTGGCCTTGGCTTGCTTCCTGTGCTCTGAGACTCCGCCTCCACGACTGCATCTCCTCCGTCCCCACTCTCCTTTTTTCTGCAGCGTGGAAAAGTAAAGTTACACAATTAGGGCAGCTGCCTAATTCCAAGCTTGTGTTTGGCCTATTTGGAGAGGAAAGGGTCTGACATTGCTGCCAGAGCTTATTATGAGCATCATTCATTTGGCAAGAGAAGTCAGGAGCACTTGGCAAAGCAGGAGAGGGAAAGAGCCAATTTCTGCCCAGGCAATGGGCAGGGGCTGTGCCCTCCTTGGCCTCTGGGGCCATCACCTGGGAGTTTTCCTGTCTGTTTTTACTGCTTAGCAGAAGTGGCTGGGAGTTTGTAACACAGCTGAGGAGTGGGGAGAGGTTTGGAAGTGAAAAGGGACTTCGTATAAATTAACCCTAGCAGGATTGGCTATGTGATTTGTGGGTCCCCGTGCAAAATGAAAATGTGGAGCTCCTTGTTCCAAAGGCAGTGGGGAAAGTGCTTTGCAAGGTGGTAAAATATAAAATAAATAAATAAAGGTGGTAAAATACAAACGTCTGTGGTTTCTCTCTCTCTTTTTTTTGACGTTTATTTTTGAGAGGGAGACAGAGAGCAAGCAGGGCAGGGACAGAGAGAGGGAGACACAGAATCTGAAGCAGACTCCAGGCTCCCAGCTGTCAGCACAGAGCCTGATGCGGGGCTCGAACCTTGAGATCATGAACTGAGCTGAAATCAGACGCTTAACCAACTGAGCCACCCAGGCGCCCCTGGGTTTTCTCTTGTCTTAGGGTAAGTTTTGCTATTTAATCTTGCAAATCCTCAGACAGAAGGATACTCTAGGGGGCAAATGCAAACTCTTCTAGGCCCCCGGACGCCCTGCCCCACCATTTGGGGCACCGTGTGTACACCAGCTGCTGGGTTACCCTTCCTGCCCTGAGAGGTGGAGGGAATGGAGGAGTCAAGCCTGGCATCTCCTTTTCCCACAGACTGGCCACTCTGGCCCAGGGAGGATAGGCAATGCTAAGAGTACTGACCCTCCGTGCCACCCTGGAGGGGCCCGGGTCAAGGGTGGACAAGAGGCTCGCCATTCCCCTCTAGCTGCCTGCCAGGCGCACAGTGGCGCTGCCAGCCCTGGATCCGTGCCACACCCAAGAAGCAACCTGCCCCTTCCCGGGCCCTTTCTGGAGTTGATGGGGAGAGTGGGGGCAGGGGGGAGGGGCCTGGGGTTCCCAGGGTCGTGGGACTGAGCAGCTGAGAGCTTTGGATTCCTGAAGCCCAGAAACTCTTAGCATGGCATGTCTCTCTCTGAAGCCTGCATGGCGGGAAGGCAGCACTTTCTGAATAAATGAATTGCTGGTAGTCTGTTCTCTAGGCCTGGAAGAGGTTAGGGGCCCTGGTTGGGGTGGGCCGCTCTTGCCGTTCTGGGGGAACTGGCTGCTTAGTGGGTCTAGGGCTCCATAACGAAGCACCCTGGAAGGCAGTGGGGCCCCCATTCCCCAGTGGGAAAGGCTTTGTTTCTGAGTAGCCAGAAGCTGGGCCTGCCGTTTGGAGACAGAGAGGGCTTGGGAAGGAGATATCATCTCATGGCTATTACGGTGGAGAAAGGAAGAAAGGATCCAGCTAAGGCCCTGAAGGGGGGCCGTGGCCTCCAGAGGCAAGTCCCTTGGTCTGAGGCTCGGCCCCCAGGGGACTGGTGTTCCGACTCAGGATAGTCTGCTGCCTACGCACAGTACTTCACAGTTTCCAGTGCACGTTTCTGCATCTTATTGCATCTCATTTGCACAAGGACCCTGGGCCACGCTCATCCATTTTATAGATAGTGAAAGGGAGACACAGAGCAGAGGGGTGGCTGGTCCGAGTAAGTGGCAGAACCAGGATTTGAAGCGGGCCCCCACTCACGGTTGAGCATCCGTCGTGTCCACGGCTCCAGGTATGTGCAGTGCCGTGAAGCAGTCTCTCTGAGCTGTTAGTCACTGTTTTTACTGGGTCTGTTACATTGTTAACCCCCTTAACAGTTCTCCTCAGTTGATAAGTGGTCCCCGCATGAGGAGACAAGTTGAGAGAAGGTGGCAAAGCAGACATCCAAATGGAAGTTCACTGTAAGGTAAACTAGTTTAAGCTCTTTCCAGTCTTCCCACTGCTGGGGAGAGCTGGTTCTTCGCAAGTGGCCTAGAGAGTGAGGGCATGGCCAGGCAAGTGACCACAGGACAACATGGTAACTATCACCGTGGGTGTGCGCAGGCTGTCATGACATCACAGAAGGAACAGGGGAAGCATCACAGAGGACACGTGGTGTGTTCTGGGGCTCTCAGGTGGGCGGTGTGGCTGGAACAGAGATGTGGCTTCATGAGAGCCTTGAGGATTGAGCCCAGAGTCATGGATTGGGTCCTTTCAGAGAAGAGGAGCCCAGAAAGGTGTTGGGCAGGGGACATAATACAGTGAGATCCCATGTGTCCAAAAGATGCTGCTGGCGTAGAGAACACCAAGAAGGAGAGCAGGCCTCAGCAAAGCCATCTTAAAGCTTTATGTTGAAGCCTGGAGGGCTAGAAAGTGCGGGTCGGCTTTGTAACTGCAACAAAGGAAAATTAACGTGTCTTTGTCATATGTAGAATTTTCTTTGGTTCTTTATGGTGGGACAGAGCTTAATATGGCTGGAGGGCTGGGCTATGTGATACAGAAATAACTCTCATTTTACAGGTTGGTCTAACTGTATCTTCAAGTCCATGCATTAAAAAAAGAGAAAATAAAATAAAAAGAGAACTCTGTAGTCATATGAAGGATCTCACTTTGGTCAGGTAAGAGGAAAATGACCCTCATTTGGGACTGTGACCACTAGTGTCAGGGACAAACGTCTTGGTGTCCAGCCTTGGCTTTGGCAGCCCTGTGGATGTGTGGCTTTCATGGAGTAGCTTTCTGACCTGTAGTTACCTGCAGGCAGGAACCATGCAACTTACATATCTATGGATTTGCTGTAATAGATGTGGCATTAGACCCATTTTACAGATAAGGCCACTGACACGTAGCGAAGTTGGGCAAGTTGCTAGCTACAGTTGAATATGGATTATTGTTTTGTGGCCATACTTTTGACTTAGAAATCAGGATGCCTGGCTTCTCATGAAAAGCCTGTGTGGCATCTGAATGTGAGAAATTGTCCTGCAGATGCTGAAATATTGGAATATCTAGGGACACGAGTATTTGGAATCGGGGCTGCCAGGGAGGATCTGAGAGGGAGGGCTGTCTTAGATTTGACAGCTTTAAGTCCCAGGCTGCTCTTAAGATGGCTTTTCTTCACAGCCCAGATCGATGTGAGCGGGACCACGGCTCCCGAGGAAAGCCAGGAGGACAGTATCGTATGTCACACGTACTGAGCTGACGGCCGGGCACTGAATGCCCATGAGGAAGAAGCATCCTGGGATGAAATGGGGAGGCAGTCAGGGAAATGGGGAGCCTGTGAGTGTGAGTGTCCTGTTCTGCATCACCCAGTCACACACAAATGGAGGTTTATGAGCTGCTCTCAGGGGACTCTGTGCTGGGCCCTAGGGTACAAGGGGTCTGAGCTAACAGTTCCTAAGCTGGGTTGGAGGCCGTTCTAGATCAGAGGGATCCCAAGGCCAGCATTTGTCGGGTGGAGGGAAGGGACAAGAGAAGCCAGCCACCCACAGAGACCTGATGAGATGTGCAATGCTGGCTGGAGTCCCAGTGGTGGAACCATAGGCTGCAGGCCTGATGTGACAGATGAGCTCAGCGTTCTGCACCAATCAGCCCGGAGAGCACATCCTGACCAAGTAAGGGAGAACGATGAAACCTCTGTGTTCTGCCCAATCCAATGAGATAGCCACTGGCCACATGTGGCTATTTAAATTTATTATTATTATTATTATTATTAATTATTAACTTAGAGAGAGCACACACAGGGCAGGGCAGACGGGGAGAGAGAGAGAGAATCTTAAACAGGCTCCACACTCAGTGCTGAGCCTGACTTGGGGCTTGATCCCAAAACCCTGGAATCATGACGTGAGCTAAAGTCAAGAGTCAGACGCTCAACCGACGGAGCCACCCAGGAGCCCCTACTTACATTTAAATAAGATAAAATAAAACAAAATAAAATAATAAAATAAAATAAAAATTCAATTCCTTAGTCTTATTAGCCACATTTCACATGCTCAATAGCCGTCTGTGGCTAGTGGCTAACAGACTGGACAATGTGGATATAGGCTATTTGAATCACTGCAGAAAGTTCTATTTCGGTGTAAATCATTTCATTAATATTTTAAATGCTGATTACATGTTGAAATAACTTTTAAAACATATCGAGTTAAGTAAGATACGTTAATATTAACTTTACCCGTTTCTTTTTACTTTCTTTACTGTGGGCAATGGAAACGTTTTAGTTACTGTGTGGCTCCTGTTTCTACTGGAGAGTGCTGTGGTCAGTGGATACAGGACACACCTCCATTTAGCCATTGTTTTTAATACCATATCCATTCGATGGTGTTCCATTTGATGATGTCTGTACAAATCCTTTCTTAATAACAAAGGGTACAGAGTCAGCCCCGGCTAATGAGACAAATGCAAGCTTTGGAACTGGAACAATTTGGTCTCAAAGCTCAGCTTCCCTATGGGCTGCATGATTTGGACAAATTACTTAATTTCTTTGTGCCTCAGTTTTCTCCTCTGAACAATGCAGTCAATGAACGAGTCTCTGCCTAGCATGGCTCTGAACATAAGAGACAGTGCACTACAGGGACTCCTACGGACCCGGCCGTTAGTCTACCTCTGTAAATGGTGGCTGTCATTGTCACCACTGTCATCAGAACTTCTGAGCATGAAAGAATAAGGGGTCATGGTCAGTTTCTTTGGCCTGAGACCATTCACTCCCCCGCCCCTGCCTCAGCATCCTTGCTCTCCGATGATGACCTCCCAGGCAGCTGTAAAGCCCCTGCGCGGGGCCCAGGCACTCACCTGCTGGCAGCTGCTGGCCCAGGAGGCCCTGAGGGCACCCCAGCTTTCCGAGCGTGTGGCCTTGCTCTCCAGGTGCACCCGCAGTTGTGCCTCCAGCTCCTGGCTGACGTTCTCGAGGGCGTGAACCTTGGCCATGTATTCCACCAGGCAGCCCCCCAGGTCCTCAACGGCACCGAGGTTCCTCTCCAGGCCTGGAGCAGGTGCTGTGGCCAGACCCGAGCTCCGCAGGCCCTGCAGGAAAACACTGCTGATGCCCAGGGCCCGGCGCGTCACGCGGGTGCCCAGGCCACCTGTGTACCCACTGGGCACCATCCCTACATAGACTCTGGGTGCTCGGACGAGACCACCCATGGCATTGGTCCTGGAGGCCGGGGGGCTGTCCAGGGAGGATGATGACCACGTTCCCCCAAAAGATGCCCTGTGCCTCTGGAGGGGCAAGCTGGGGCTGGCACCGGTGGGCATGTCCACCACCACTCGCCTGCTGCTCATCATCCCTTCTGCCTCTGCTGTACCTACTGGGCTTACAGAGCCCAGTGGCTTTTGGTTTCCAGCCCCAGTGTCCCTGTGGCTCGGGTGTGGGCCTCTCTGGAAGCTCCCCTATCCCCAGGGCTGCTTTGTCTGCTGTTTTCCATGAGCTTCCAGCATTCACCGAGCTGAAAGGGAAACAGGCCCTGCCCAGGGCTGCCTGCAGAAAGGCACTCATGCATTCTCTGCAAGGTCATGTGCCTGACCTCCCAGATTTTTCTGCTGGTGGTGCGGGTGCTGGATCAGTGCAGGCTGCGGGGGTGGCTCATCTGGATTTGTGTACTTCACTACCTAAGAGAGGGCAAGGCAGGAATCACATAGCCCCATTTCACAGATAAGTAAACTGAGGCTCAACGGCCTCAGATCACAAGTGTAGTGACCCAGGACTGGATCTAGGTGTTCCAGGGCCGATTTCAGAGCTCTCTACATCCTTACATGTGCTGTGTATGTAAATGTGTGAATGGGCATGCATGTCCACACAGGATGGAAGGACAGAGGATGGAAACGGATGTGAACTAGCCACGGTGGGAGTCAGTCCCGTGAACTCAAGAGAAACAAACCAAGCCTGTTGCTTCCCTTATCCTCCCTCAGTCTTGGTAGCAGCCTCAGGTCCTTCTGTGGCATTTTTCTTCCCTCAAACACTGCTGTTTATCAGCTGTTTACCTTGACGATGTTGCTTCACCTTTCTGGATCTTACTTTCCATGCACTGGCCCGAGCTCTCCCTAATGCAGTAGTGCAAGGGACCCTGGGAAATTTAGGTCCCACACATGTTGGGCACCTTTTATGTTGTAGCTATTCCCTACACCTCTGTCTCTCCATTTGCCAGAAAACTAATAAAAACAAAGAGAAGGTTTTCCAGTAAGCTCTTTATGGGTGCTTCAAGTTAGGATCTGATGACACACCCTGGGTTTTAATTCCTGCTGTCAGCAACCACTAAGGCATGTTGTTATGGTCACACCTCAATTACTTTCCCAGGTCTCTGAGAACACAAAATGGACCTAAACCCCACTGCACCTAAGTTTTACACTAGAGAAACCAAGTAGCCCAAACCCAGAGCTGGATATTTATCCCAAATCCTGCCCCATGGGAACACACCTCAAGTGAGAGAAGGGGAAGGGAGCCAATTTCTAGTAAATATTGAATATATCCTAGGGCTGTACATAATTTCCATACTTTGTTTCGTTGAATTCTCAATCTAACCTTAGGAGGTAGGTTCAGGGTTGACATGTGCTGCTATTTGAGCTGTGCACTGTACAATTCCAGAAGTATCATCGCATGTCAAATGATTGGTTATTAACTCTTTATGTGATGAGGATCCTGAAAGCAGCAATGGCTTGTCCAAGTTCCCCTGCCCAGAAAGTAGCAGAGCTAGGACAAGAAAACAAGTGACTCACATTGAATGCCCTCTGTCTCCCATCACCTAGAGAACAGGGTACTATCCAAAGTCATACAAGCAGAATTCAAAACTACAGTTACCTACTGGAATATTCTATGTGCTCATCCTTGCTGATTAGGACACCATAACTTTTTTTTCCCTTTCTACTTTGTCTATTTGAGTTGACACAAAGAAGTCAACTGTATAAATATCAATGTTGGTATATGACGAATAGATTAAGAAACCAACTTGATCAAGTAAAAGCTGGCAGAGTCCTTATTTATTTAGACATGGCATTCTTGCTGCAAACACCACCTCTCCTGCACCCTGTAGGCCCCACGGCACCCACCAGACTCTTAGAATAACGTCCTCCTAACTCAGGTGGCGCTGCCTGGGTCTTGAGGGGCTGCGGGAATTTCAGGTGTATCATCCAAGGCTAAATGAAGGGTTCAAGCTACTGACGGAGTTGTGTGCACAGATGTCATGTTTAGACACTGCTATTCTCGACAGAATGGGAACTCTCAGTGGCCAGTTACCCCCAGATTTCTCTGACCCAAAGACAGGTACAGTAAAACCCCCAGCCCTGAGGAGGGACAGGGCAGAGAAGGGCTGTAACCTAACTGATAACAGTGTTTTCAAAGACTTAGAGAGAGAGCACTCTCTTGGAGAAGTCACAGACATGTTCTAAAGGATTGGTATTATCACATGACAAATTGCCAGTAGCTCGTTGAATATTCGTAAAACCCAACTTATTGTTAAAATAGATGAAAAAATACAGATGAACATCAGGCAGTGTCAGCGTCATTTTAAAAGTTATTTTAAAATGAAAAGAATGCAAAATGTATTAGCAACTTAATCCTCTGGCTAGTAAAATAAGTTTATTTATATATACATGGTAGTTGAATTCTGTGGATAAGGAAAAATAAGTCATACATCCACATAGGTATATATAACATATGTATCTTTGACTACATATATTATATATAATTTTACTTTACAAACAGATTTCTTTCTATATATACGCACACACATTGCTATATTAAATGCAATAGCTAACAGAAATGTAAGGTTAAAAGGTCATACAGCAGCACGCTGGCAAATGAATCTCAGAGCAACATAAAACCTGCTTCCTTGTGGACTGAAGAGTCTTTAAAGAGAGACATCCACCAACTCATGTTAAGTAGGTTCATACAACATTGAGAACACACATTTTTGAAGGCCATCTTTTTTCTTTTAAAAGAAGGAAAGGTCGGAGGAAAGGAAAAAGTGATGATAAAAAGACCACAGCAACAACACGAACATACGAATCAACATTCAAGTTCAATTCTCAATCTGACTATAAGAACATCTATATTGAAAATATACTAGCAAACTAATTTTCTTTTAGATAAAGAGTCAAAGCAGTTATCTTCTCTCCCAACCACTCTCTGTTAGGGAAACAGGGAGAAGCAGCCATCTGTGGAAGCCCCTGCTGCGTCCCTGCGGGTCTGAGCCCTCCTGGGTGTGGACGGGCCAGGGGAGCCTGGAGCATGCGAGCGGGATGGCAAGCCTGTCTGCTGACCCACAAGCAGGTCTGCGGCACCAGGGCAGATATCAGGATGTCTTCTCCTAAGCGATCCACTTTAGTAATCTCATTCAAGATCGCCGGAGGGTTTAGAGAATTACAGCCCCATGCTTCAAGGCCACTTGATAAACACGTTCCTCAGGGGCATGGTGCGATGTTTTTTGAGAAAACAAAGTTGAACCCAATAAACATTTGGTCCTTGAAGGACAGCAAACATTCCAAAGCTCCAGGGCTAGGATCCACATCTGAATCATCTCTAGAGAAAGGCACGAGTTTTAAAGCAGATGTGAATGTTGGAGAGGATGCAGGACTGTGCGTAAGTGGGGGAGGGGGCTTATTTTCCGCCAGGGCAAGGCAGTCCTGCTGTTAGCACAGTGGAAGCTCCTTGTTGTGGGACGTTAGGGGGATGTGGCCTTGACAGAATGCCCATGATGTCCTCCAGGCTCCTGAGGGCTGCATGCTCCTGCCTGCGGTCCTTAACTCTGATGGAATTACACTTGACAGCCAATGGTGCCATTGCGCGGGTGCAGGACGCTCATCCGCTGAGGCGGCCAGGTGTTCCCCTTTCCTGCTCTGTGCACAAGTCTGCTGCTTCTCCCAGGGTGGCCCACTTGCCTTTGCTGATGTGTACGTGGAGGGGGAAGGGTGGGGGTCCCACTGAATCAAGAGGAACCAGAACTTTAAGAAACACTCAAAGGGCCGTGCTCTTGGCCATTTTAACACTGCACCTCTACAGGTCTGCCTCTTCCCTCACCTGCCTGGGGCTGCTGGGACCCCCAAGTGCTCAAGGACAGTTATTAAGAGAAGCAATCAATGCAACTGCTTTGCTTAGAAATACCTTTATTTTATAAAGCCACGGATCGTTCTGTAAAGGTTTTTTTTTTTTTTTTTAAACCACACTTATAAAAAAGATGTTGACAATTCTTAGGGGGAGAAAAAGCTGAAAATGTTTCTCATTAAGTCAGGGTTACACAAAGATTATATTTATAATATATATTTGAATATTTATAATTTAGAGACGAATAGCAGGGAACGGCGAAGCGAGGGCTGCTGCTGTTAGATCTCCGATACTTGGTCGTTTCCCACGAATAGCGTTTCTTGGCAGAAGGGGTTAACAAGGACCATCCCAGTGTCTCTGTAGTCGCCGTTGGCTGGGGAGCGGGGCTCTGAGAGCTGGCCCTGAGAGGAGAGAGGGAGGACACAGGATGAGCTCAGGGGGTTTAGGCGGTGGCCGTTCATAAAGAAATACACACGAGGACACTGCCACATGGGATTGCTTTGGTTAACATCTTTCATCATCTTCACTGCCAGTGTGGAGGTGCAGAGCCCTCTCTACTCTTCCTTCAGCTTTTTGCAGCAGCTTCTGAAAAAGATTTCCTGCTTCCTGAATCACTCTGGGCTTAGGTTGCCAGAGATGGTATTGCTCTCCTTGTAAAAGTCCGAGAGGGCTCGCCGTGGGGGCCATGCGGCGGATGGCTCGGTGCTCTGGTGGGCAAACCCACACTCTCCTTCCTGCCTCTCTCTCGCAGATCTCTGGGAGACGTGGCTGCCTTTCCTCCCTCCTCCTTCACACCCTACGCTTGCCCACCTGCTTCCCTTCCTGCCACTCAGCCAGCAGGGCCTTCAAGGGCTCATTCCTCCCCATCCTGACTCCTCTCAGAACCTGGTTAGAATTACAGCCCCATTTCTTGTAGTACTAGATGGTTCTGAGGTGAAAGGACCTGAAATCTCTGTGTGACGATGGGTGGTGAGTAAAAAACACAGTCTGTCTCCACAGCCCCAGAAATGGAAAAGCCAACGAATAGGTAATTCACCGATCAGGACATCTGAATGGCTTTGGCCTCAACCAATAAAGACTGCAAGCATTTGTGGGCCACTAAATGTCTATCCTCAGACTCAGGCCCAGGTAAAATTTGGTGGGGCGGGGGAGGCGGAAAGAAGTCACAGCCTGTCCTAATTCTCAGACACTGAATTCTCAGAACCTGCAGGCTACTTCAGTAATATGTCGAGGTAGAACTGGCTCAAGCGAGACTTGCTTAGACGTCTCTATTTGACATCTAAGCCACAAGTAATTCCCTGAGGTTTATTTTTAGCAAAACATGTATAATTTTTGAGGAATACATATTGCCATCGATAATAAGGAGAGAAAGGAAGAAAGGCCATTTGTTGGTAAGATGTCTTTTCATAAGACAAGAATTTCCATCAATGTCTGGAATTGGCTGAATGCCCATCTCCAAGGCAGACACAGAGTCAGCCCTCTAAGTAAGGAAAATGGGGTGGCGTGTCACTGAGGGGAACACCATCCCCATTCTTCACTGGGCTTTAGGTGGAGCTGTGGAGGGGAATTTTGGAGGATGAGATCTGGCGTGTTGCTTTATAGTTTTTTTTTTTTTTCAATGTTTATTTTTGAGAGAGGAAGTGTGAGCAGGGGAGGGGAAGAGAGAGAGGGGGTAGAAGATACAAAGTGGGCTCTGTGCTGATAGCAGTGAGACTGATGCAGGGCTCGAACTCATGAACCCTGAGATCATGACCTGAGCCAATGTTGGCCGCTCAACCAATTGAGCCACCCAGGCGCCCTTATAGTTCTTACAAAGCAAGTGTTCACTAAGGGTAAACCATGTGGATATTTTTTGCAGCATAAAAAAGAAAGTTACTTAGGAAATAACAGACAAGAAGGAAGAAAAATAGAAGAGGAGGAAGGGAAGGAAGAGGGGGTAAAAAAGGCACAGAAAAATTTCCAGGCACTTTTTGGGCATCAGTTTTGCCTGGATTAGTGCTTTGCTCTTTCATCAGCCTGAAAGGGGAGCAGGGCGCTGGAGAAACTTGCTTGGGCAAAGCACTTGGCGGCCACCGGTGTTGGCAGCCTACAGGGTGGGCGGTAAAGGCTGCCCCGGGCTGCGGAGGGTGAGGCATATGCCCTGTGACCACAGGCTGCTCTCAGGGTGGCCCACAGTGCCAGTGTGTGCGTGCCCAGAGAGTGGGGACAAACTGTACCACTGCTCTAAGTAAGGCAGAATGAGGGCAGTAGACCTGCTGGCGGGGGGGTGGGGGGAGGGGACAGCCATGAAACAAATTCTGAAGCCAAACTGACCTTTTTGCTGCTGGTTCTGCTGCACCTCCTGACCCTGGGAGGGTGGCTGCTGGAGGCAGCCTCTTTGAGAGCCTCTGGCGTGTGTCTGAGGGCAGCCCAGGCGCTCTGGGCTGGATGGGACACCACACAGGCAGGGCCCTTTCTAGAGTAAGCTCACAGGCACTGTCTTTTGGCCTTGGTTTTCATTTATCAATTTGCAAATGGAATGAGAAACTTATTTACTTAAAAAATTTTAGGGGCGCCTGGGTGGCTCAGTCGGTTGAGCGTCCGACTTCGGCTCAGGTCATGGTCTCACAGTTCGTGGGTTCGAGCCCCGCGTCAGGCTCTGTGCTGACAGCTCAGAGCCTGGAGCCTGTTTCAGATTCTGTCTCCCTCTCTCTCTGGCCCTCCCCTGCTCATGCTGTCTCTCTCTGTCTCTCTCTTTCTCTCAGAAATAAATGAAACATTAAAACATTTTTAAACAGGGGCGCCTGGGTGGCTTAGTCGGTTAAGCGTCCGACTTTCGCTTAGGTCACGATCTCGCGGTTCGTGGGTTCGAGCCCCGCGTCGGGCTCTGTGCTGACTGCCAGCTCAGAGCCTGGAGCCTGTTTCAGTCTGTGACTCCCTCTCTCTCTGACCCTCCCCTGCTCACGCTGTCTCTCTCTCCCAGAAATAAATAAAACATTAAAAAAAATTAAAAAAAAACATTTTTAAACAAATTTTAATGTTTATTTATTCATTTTGAGAGAGAGTGAGCAAGCAAGCAGGGGATGGGCAGAGGTGGGTGGGGAAGAGAATCCCAAGCAGGATCCATGCCTTCAGCACAGCCCAACACGGGGCTTGATCTTATGAACCATGAGATCATGACCTGAGCCGAAATCAAGAGTTGGACGCTTAACTGACTGAGCCACCCAGGTGCCCCAAGAACATGAGAAATTTAGAGTTCAGGGATTCATAGCCCACATTCAAAGTGTGGCCAGCCCCTTTGCTAACTTAGCCATTTTTCACTCATTACAATAGTTTTCAGAGGAACTTTAAAATAAGTTTTTATTTTTTTATGGAAGTATAGTGGGCACACAGTAGTATATGCTTCAGGTGTACAACACAGTGGTCTAACGACTGTCTGTGTGATGAAGTGCTCACCACAGGGGATGTAGGGACCACTCTGCTATGCAGGACGCACACGGACCACACTGGAGGTCACTGCTTTCATGAAGCCTGGCCCTCTGTCCTTCAGTTAAACGTTTTTATTGAGCGTCCACTGTATGTCAGGCTTTGGGCTGGGTGATGGGTCAATCATGAACAAAACTTGTGGTTCATTCATGTCATAAACGTTTACCAAGCACCTAGCAGGTGCTGGGCACTGTTCTAGGTTCTAGGGGTAGAGTGGTGAGCAGAACAAACAGGGCTCCTGCCCTCAGGCAGCTGATGTTCTAGCAGGAGAGACAGGGACCAGGCCCGAGTGATTGGGAGAAGTCGCTGAGGTGAATGTGAAGGAGTGCTGGGGAGGGACAGAACACAGGCCAGCAGAGGGGACAGTCATGCACAGCCCTAGAACAGAATTTAACTGAGTGCTATAAGGAAATGAAAAGAAATCTGGTGTTGGTTGGAGCTTAGCAAATGAGAGGGAGAGTTGGGCTAGGGCCGGGCCAACCTCCTAGGCTCTGGACATGACTCTGAACTTTAATTTGAGAGCACCAGGAAGCTACTGAAGAGTTCTGGGGACAGGAGTGATGTGGTCACATTCATGTTTCTAAAAGCACACCCTGGCTGCTGTGGGGGACGGATCTGCAGGGGAAGAGGGGACTGTATTTCCAGAAGAACTCTTGGCTTTCACTGCTTTTACTCAGATGACTGCCATCTTTCTCCCGGACCATCTAGATTGCTCCCAGCTGGCCTACTTATTTTGAGTCTTTCTTCCTGTCCTCTCATCCCTCCATCCATTAAACCACCCTTCCTTTCCTTCTTATCCATTCACTAATCACGTATGCAGTGCCTTCGCCATGCCATCAGCACAATCTTTCTAAAACTAGGTCGCACAAAGCTCCACTTTCAGTGACCCTCCACCGCCCAAGACTAAAGTACAAACTCCATTCAAGCCCATTCGAGCCCAGGCCCAACCTACGTACCTTTCCCGCTGTGTCCTGGCCTCTGCCCAACCTGTGTGAGGGTGGAAGGAGCACCTGGTTCAAAGCCTGGCTCTCCACTGGCCAGACAGGTGTTTTGGGCAAACACTTCCTGACTCCATGTATTCTTTTCTCCCACGATATGCCATGTCCAGCCCACATCCCCACCTTTTCTCAGGCTCTTCCTTTGCTGGGAAACCTGTCAAAATCCATTTATCCTTCCTAAACCCCACTGTGAAGGCTTTGTTCTGGTAGGTTTCTATAGCTCGCTGCAACTCTTCTTGTGTCTTCCCTAGTTTGTTTGCTTCGGAATGATGCGTGGGGCCCATACCTCAACCACATCTTGGAATCGGGGCCCCCTGAGAGCAAGCTCTCATCTTCACAGTCCCCAGGGATTGCCTGCCACAAACTGGGTCCTCAATGAGTATTTATCAAACTCAGAACTTGAGGTCCCAAGAACAGTGCTTCCCAAGTTTTTTTTTTTTTTTTTTTAATCCACTATTGAGAGACAGAGAGAGACAGAGCATGAACATGCGAGGGGCAGAAAGAGAGGGAGACACAGAATCCAAAGCAGGCTCCAACTCACAAACCGTGAGATCATGACCTGAGCTGAAGTCGGCCGCTCAACTGACTGAGCCACCTAGGCGCCCCTTCCCAAGCTTTAACATATGTAGAAGGCACTGTGGAATTCTTGTTGAAATACAGATTGACTCAGGGAGGCTGGGGTGGGGCCTGCAGCTTCCTGGGTGCGGCTGCTACTGGGCCACGGGCCGTCCTTCAAGGGACAAGCCACTAAGAAGCAAGCAGATACTCCACAGCTTACTTTGGAGCCTGTGCTTTTCCCTGTGCTGGAGCCAGACCTTCCAGGGGCACCCCTTGGCTTGGGGCTTGTTACCTCAGAGGTTTCGAGGGACTGGATTTCCCTTGGTAACTCCACAGCATGCTTGTTGAAGTAGTCCATGGTGATGGCATTGTTCCAGTAGCTCAGATTGTTCTCCGGGTTGGCCGTCTTCTTCTTCCTCCGCAGGCAGCACACTGTCAGCAAGACGGCTGTGGAGAGAGTCCAAGTTAGAGAGGGGAGGGAGACAAGAAGCATGGAGCCAGCCCTGCTGAGTGACAGACCCCAGTCTCCAGGTGGGGCTGTGATGGTCATATAGTCAGCCACTTACTCCATTCGTTCATTTGTTTGCTTCTTTGTTCAACAATTACCTACGTATGTTGAATGCCAGCTTTCGGCCAGGTTGGGAGAGAGCAGGTGAGAAACAGACAAGGCTGCCCTGTGTCATAAACATCTCCCCTAGTGTGTGTAAGGAGGGACGGGGGGGGGGAGGGTCACACAATCTATAATAAACAAAATGAATAAGATAAATTCAGACAGCAGTAACTGTTGAAAGAAAATAAAACAGGGTGAAGTGAGAAAGACAATGGACAGGGGTTGGGGAGAGAATGCTTTAGGGTCATCATGAAAGGCTTTCCTGGGGTGACCTTAAAGCCGAGAACAGAATATGGAGAAGGAGCTGGACAAGCGCAGAACGGGGCAGTATGTCCCAGGTAGAGAGAAGAGCATGTGCAAAGGCACTGAGGTGGGGACACACTTGATGGGAGTGAAAAGAGCAGCTGGGCTGAAGTGGGGGGGAGTGCGGTGGGAGATGAAGCCAGGGTCATGTACAGCAGCTGCATCCATAGGGCTTAAAGGCAAGAGGCTTGGATATAATTTCGTATATATGAGGGGCCGCACTGCCACTCCTTGGGTTTGCTCCAAAAAAAAGGCCTCGCTCAGTAGATGGAAAGGCTCAGACAATGGCTGTGTGCTCTCAGGGGCGCTGCAGGACTGATGAGCGCCCTCAGGCAGAGTGGGAGTGTGACAGGGAGGGGAGCAGGACTTGGGGAGCTTTACAAAATGAGCCCTTGATTTCCACAGAGGGGCTTCGTGGTAGAGACTCAGAAAAGCATGACTGTGCACAGGTCTTGGACCCTGATAAAACAGCTGCTCTGGCCCCACAGTCATCACCACCGCTAACCCCAGCCTCCTCCTCCTCTTCCAAAAAAGAAAAAAAAAAAAAAAGCCTCTAACAGTTATTTAGTGTTTATGTTCCAGGGAGGGTTCCCAGCACTTTAGAAATTTTAATTTATTTAATCTTCCACTTCACTCATGAGGTACTGTTAGGGTCCCCATTTTACAGGCAGGCACACTGAGACTCAGAAAAGTGAAGTGACTTGCCCAAGAGCAAACCCAGACATCTGGACTCCAAAGTCTGTGCTCTTAACCATCCATGGTTGTGCCTCACAAAGACTGATGCAGAAGCCCACACTGCACACATGGGCCTGGTCAGGGCCCTATGTGGCTTGGTGTGTGACCCTGTCTGTCCAATCTTCGAGACTTGCAGGGCCCCAGGGAGGAAGGGGTATGTTTGGATTTTGGTCATGAATCAGGTGTGAACAGAGGGGCTTCAGCATGCCAACAGGGAAGTCTTCCGAAGTTGGGGACGCAAGGTGGCCCATCCAGGCTCAGGCAGTGCGATGGGTCATGTTTTGACAAGGGTGACAGTAGCCCTCTTGGGGAGATGCCGGTAAATGAAGACTGGACATCCCTTGCCCAGGCTCTCATCACCACAGCCTGTGTGGGCAGGGCTGCACTCAACATTCTGGAGGTGCCAACCATCTGTACTCTGAGGGGGGACCCCAGGCTGAGCAGCCCAGAGGCCGGCACCGAGGTGGCAATGACACCAGGGGGCAGCAGAGTGCCAGCCCTGTTCACAGCAGCCTGGGGCTTGGCCGGCATCAGGGCGCAGGTACTTGCCAGGGTGCAGGGTACCTGCAAAAGCTGGCACCCACACAGGCTGAGACCAGAGGGCCCGGCCCCTAGGTCCCCGCAGGATGATGGAGGAACTCTGTAGCTCTCTTATCTCAACCCGACAAGGCAAAGCCGGGAGGTTGGGCAAACTTCTATTGGTCCAATCTGCTTTGATCAGAAAGACTTCTAATTTGCTCATTATTCTTCCATGTTTCCTTAAAAAAGATTTAAAGATATGAAGGAGATTTCTGAATGATTGAGCTAGAAGGAATTTTAGACTGGGTGGTATAGACTTTTTTAAATTTTGAAAAACTTCCAAATTCAAGTTCTCCTTTCTTCCCTTCCTTCCAAGAAGGGGGTGGTTGGAGGCTGAATGGGGATGAGGAGGGGGAGCTGCAGAACTCAGCCTGAAAATCTGCTAATTTAGGGCCTTTCCTTATTTTACAGATGAGAAGACTGTGGTCCAAAGCATCCAGCTGACATGCCTCATGTCACAGGTCTGTGAGCGGCAAGGCTGGAGCAAGATGGCAGGTCCCGTGTCCCCTTTTCTGGCACCTTTATTATTCATTGTCACTACCTTTCCACCCTGCTCCTGGAACTGGGATGGTTAAGTGGCCTGGAGGGGATTCAAACTGCTGAAGCAGAAGCCAGAAGGAGAGGGTTAGGCTGCGGTGAACCTAGGCTGCTAACCTGGGCCGGCACAGGGTGCGGAGTCTAGGTCCTCTGACTCCTAGTCCAGTGCTCCCTCACGCCCTCACTGCCCCTGTCTGGAGCCTGGGCCCATTTAGGACACGGCCCCTGGATCCTGCCTCGATGGGAAGGGCTTGCCTGCTTGCAGGATGGCCCGAGGCTAGAACAGGAGCTCAGCTCCTAGCTTTCTCTCCTCAAGTGTTGTTAGTGCTCTAGGCCTGACCGTTTCTCTCAGGGAGTTCCCAGTGCCTCCCAAGTGCCATTTCATGTATATAATAGAAGCTGGCCCGGTGATAGAAAGTGCTTGGGCTTGGAGTCCATAAGACCTGGGTTGACTCTGCTGCGTGTTAACGCGAGGTAAGTCACTTCCTCACACTGATGACTATGGACTCACAGGGCTGTCATGAGAGCCAGAGATCATGAATGCAAACTGCTGAGCAAACTGCCAGATGCACAGAGGGTGCTTAATTCATGAGAGTTTCCTCCTTGCTCTTCCAGTACCCTCCATAAGAGAGATGTAGAAAGAAATACCAGGCTACATGACTGTTGAGTGGCTCAAGGCCAAGGCACCACCTGTGGCTTAGAACTTTCTTTATTTTGGTGGCCTGACCTTTCATCCAAGAAAGAAAGGTACAACTCAGATTTATGGAGTCTCGTGGGCTGACCTAGGCACTTTACAGTCTCATTTAACCCACAAAATAGCTGAGGAAGGTACTGTTACTCTCATAAGAGGCAACTGAAACTCATGAAAGTTACGAAAATTGATCTTGATCACCCAGGTAATTAATGGAACCTGACCTGGGTCTCTGTGACCCTGAGGGTGATGCTTACTGTGATGTCACCCTGAACACGGTTGAGAACACATCCAAGGCATGTGGAAGCACCTGGTAAACAACACAACTCTGGGCAAACACAGGACTGTGCTGGCATCTGCCTCCTGAAGGTCCTGAGCTAACACAGAGGGTATTAGTCCTACAGGTGAGAAGACATTCAACCAGCAGTTAAATAACTTGTCCAAGCCCCACAGGTGGCCAGCAGGAGAGCTGGCATGACATCCAGGTATGTTTGAGTCTACTAGCCAAGCCTTTCTGTCACACCAGGCTTCTTCTCCAGTGATTTAGGTAGGTTTAAAGTTTGAAAAGCTAGAGAACAGGGGCACCTGGGTGGCTCAATTGGTTGAGTGTCAGACCCTTTATATCAGCTCAGGTCATGATTTCGCTGTTTCTTTTTGGGATCAAGCCCCACGTTGGGCTCTGGGCTAACAGCACGAAGCCTTCTTCAATTCTCTCTCCCCTACTCTCTGTTTATCCTCCTCTGCTCTCTCACCCTCTATCTCTCACACAAAATAAATAAATGAACTTTTTTTTTTAGAAAAGTGTTAAAAAGAGGAGAGGGACCTGTGAGCTATTTCAGTTTGGCCACTTCATTTTATAGAGAGGAGAAGCCTGGAAGGAAGGATTGGTCCAGTGGTGCTGACCTGAGGGGCCAGACTGTGGACCATCATTTCCCACCTTTGGGTGTTGGGGCAGGAGGCCCAGGGAGGCCTCAGGGCATGGAAGGAGGCCGGGCTCGAAACGACGCTATGGGGCTGGGGAAAGCAGGTTTGGGGGCTTACTCTCTGGCCCCCCATCCTGGTGTGTGGGACTAGGAGGCTCCCAGTGGGAGGTGCTGGCTGGGAAGCAGAGATGAGCCATGAGAACGGGGAATGACTCTCTGCTCCAGCTGAGGTGACACCCTCTGGCCCTAGGCTGCTCCCTACCACCCTGGCTTCAGTTAGTTCATAAGCCCCAAGGAGACAAATCTCCTGGAAAATCTCCTGGACACACTTCCTTCTCATTCCAATTTCTTCTACTCTTTTCATGGAAAGAGTAAGTTTGACCCATGTCTTATGTAATAACTACAAAGTCATTGGGGCCTGTAAGTGATACACATATATACATTTGGATTGGACTAACACTCACAGAACAATGAATATAGCTAAGAACTGTGTGACCGCAGGATAGATTATCTTGCTGAGCACTGCTTGATACTCCAATGGTATTAATCGTCTGTCTGCAAGAAGCCAGGATGCTATGGGGTGAGGTGCACATGGACCCTCACATATCTGGGGTCAGAGAGAGTTGCTTCTCTGCTCCAGCCAGGCTCAACTTAGATTGGCATGAAAAACATCTGCCGCTGGCCTATTTTTTGTTCTCACCCTCCATAAAGGCTTTCATCTTTTGCAGGGAAGCAGAGTAAAGACATTCCCGAGAGCAGTTGCGGCATGTGTAGGAGACGCTAGGGAGCCTGGCAGAGCCATAAAACTGACCTCCGGTGAAAACCCAGAGCACTGACGGCAGTGTGGGAGGACCAATTCAGTGCTGGGACCAGAGGGCCTCCAGCAGGAGGTAGTGGGTTCTTTGCATCCTGACGGTGGCAGCAGAGACCAACTCAAGAGCCACATGGCTCCCCTGCCCCAGCCAAATGTGGCCTGGCTCCAATCAGTTTCAGTTCTCAGCACATCTGAAACCCTGTGTAGCTGTCTCTGGCAGGGCTCAGGAGACAAAGCATTTCTCAGTGGTGGCACATCTAGCTTTCCAGACATTGGGTGGGGCTTTCGATCTAGAAGGGCTAGTGTAATTGATGACATCCTTTCCTGAGCAGGCCCGAGATTTGCTAGGATCACCCCATGCTTCTGAGAGAAGCAGAGGATTCACCCACCTGCTTAGCAACCCTGGCCAGCTGAAGTCTGGCTTCTGGTGGATGGAGAAAAGCAGGGACTGAAAAGGCAGGTGTAAGGAAATTTAGGCATGCACTTTGCTACCATCCTAGAATGCCTGAAATATCTGGCAAGCTGGCAAAGAAGACCCTTCTTTGAAAGTAGAGTGAACTTTAGGATAAGTTCAGGCGCTGGAAGAGGTCTGCTTGTCTGATGACTGGAGTGGGATTAGGCTATGAAAACAGCCAGGATATTTGTTCATCTGTGCTTTGAAAGAACATGGTACTCTGCAGCTGAACAAGTATTCTATTTGATGTCCCTTGCATCAGGGCCTTCACTGGGCAGGACCCAAAGAGTTGGGGCCACAACATAAGGACAGGGAGCCCTGTGTGGAGGCAGCCAGGGCTAAGGCAGGGAACTTAGGAGTGAGGGCTTACGGGATCCTTCCGTGTGGATGGTGAAAATGCAAGACAGATGCTAAAGAAGTGGGGTCTGTGGTTCCAAGGGGCTGCAAGAGTCCACTTCGAACAAAGACTTATATCTTCCTTTACAACGTGGTATGCTCTGTCCCAGCTCCTGAAGGCTCCTTTCGCAGTTCTGAGAGCATTTTCTGGGGTGCAATTCCAGGCTGCGTCCTTGCTTCTACCTTAGCTGACATGATTATGCATGGGTTAGGCGGCCCGTGGGTTTTCTGGCTTTGCAGTAAGATCTGATCTAATTTCAAGCTCACACACGGCAAAGAAGGCTGTAGAAGTCTTTTTGGAACGATAAAACACAGGGGGGTGCGGCCTGTGGGGCAAGGGCTAGATCTACTCTGTGTTGTCCAGATCAGGCAAAGAGAAAGGCTCAGGTGGAGAGAGGTTTCTGGGAGCTGGGGGAGGGAGCCACATCACATACCTCAGTTCTCTGGTGCTTGGCATAGTGCCGGTCAGACAATGGGCACTTGAGAAATACTGTGGTGAATCAATCAGATTCTACCACTGGATCTGGGCTGACTTACATGTGAGTCGGGGCCCTGGGGAAGTCACTTCACTTGGTGACTTATTCCCTACCTATAAAGTGTGCTCCCTGCATAGCGTGTTTATGTTTTTTTATTCTTCTGGCTAGTCTGTTTTAAGGGTGGAAAGATTTTTTTTTTAAATGGTCATTTATTTCTGAGAGAGAGAGTGAGCACAGGAGGGACAGAGGGAGAGGGAGACAGAGGATCCAAAAGGGGCTTGGCACTGACAGCAGAGAGCCTGATGCAGGGCTCAAACCCACAAACCATGAGACCATGACCCAAGCTGAAGTTGAACACTTAATCGACCTAGCCACCCAGGTGTCCCAAGGATGGAGTTATTAAAAATCACGGGAACTCACATTGTAAACAAAAGCCTCTAGAGAGACATGTAGAGGATAGAAAATTAGAAAATTGTCTCTAATGTGGTTACTTCTCAAATATGACCATTTTTAGTAACTTACTGGCTAACAGTGCTACATTTTCTCATTATCATTCCTCTGTTTTAGAAGTAGGCAATCAGTTTTAAGAATTCATGTGTTTTTCCATCAAAGACAATAAAGCCACTTAATGAAAGAATAAAATATGCAATCTGCAAACATTTTCACTTTTCCTGAATTGGGTCCTTGAGCAGAAGTAGGCCACCCACTTTTGAGATAGAAAGTTTGCTTTGCTTATCAACTAGAAGGAAACAAAAAGCTAGGAGAGGTGGCTTCTGGAAAGAATCCAGAATCTAGATTTAGAAAGATCGTACTGGTATAATGCCAATCAGAAATTATGTCATGTTAAAGGCATAAACCCCTGTGCTAATGTACAAATGACCTATGGCATGAGGAAAGGCTGGAAGAGTGGCTTAAGTGCCTCCCGTGTGGAAAGTTTCTGGGGGTTTCTTCCTCTTGAGATTAGGGTGAGCCCATGGTGTGATGTAACAGTACCACCAACAGAGCTGATGCCAGTGTTGGCTTCCTGAATGGGACAGAAATGTCCAGAACAAAGGAGCCACCATCTGCTCTCCTCTGCCATGGGTGGGCATGTGGAATGCTGTGCTCCCTTCTAGGAGAACAGGGATAAACTGGTGGCCATCCAGAATGGCAGACAGGGGGAAGGGCCAGGGCAATTTGGCCCCCTATAAAGAGACTTGAATGAACAGGAATGAGCAACTTGGAAAAAGAAAGGCTGCCGTTGAGTGCCATTTCAAATGTTTCAAGGGTTGGTAGATGGACTGGTTTTGTGGGTTTCATAGGACATGGCTTTGGACCACAGAATGGAAATTACAAAGAGGCAAATGTTAGGCTCCCAAGAGAGCTGGGTAACAACCTGACGGGGTCACAGGAGAATGGGCTGTCCAATAAATGAGGAGCACAGGGGGTTTCTCACCCCTGGAAGGGTTCAGAAGGAGGACAGATGATTGATAACCATTAGAGGTGAGCTGACGCTAAGATCAGTGAGCATTCTTGTGAGGTTATCATAAGAATTTAGAATCAAATACATGGTGAAGACATAAAAGGAAGCCCTAAGGTTCTGAGTGATTACATTAGCTTCTCTATGGGAGAAGGTCTCCTGAATTCTCATTAAAGGAGTGACCGGGGAGCAGCAAGGAGATGCTGGTAGCCTGGGGAGAGCCCTTCTCTGCCAGTACCAGTGGAAGCAATGATGAGGTCCACACTGTATCTAGCTCACACCTCCCATGAACAAATAAAACCAGGGAGGAAGAGAGAGTAGCTAAAATCACATAGAACTCTCAAGCCTCAATATTTAGCTATAGGAACTGCTTTTGCCAAGGCTAACAGAAATTCCTGCAAGATCATCTCTTCTTATTTTTTTGGAGAAAGAGAGATAGAACGGGAGGAAAAGAGATGAGGGAAGGGCAGAAAGACAGGCAGAAGGATGGATGTGAAGTGGGAGGGAAGGTGAAGGCTTTGCTACTTGGAGGTTGTACATTCCGAAGTGCCAATGTTCACCTACAGTGTCTTGGTGCCATGTCACTATAGCCATTAGCAGACTGCCCTTCAGGGTGGCAGGGTGGTGTCATGACAAGAGCACTGGGTGGGAAGACAGTCCCATCCAAGAACTGTTTCTCACTTAACTTTAGGCTGCTGAGTGAGCCATGGCACCTCTCTAGCTTGGTGTTTCTTTCTAAAAAATGCAGAGCCGGACTAGACTACTTAGAAGGTTCTCCCCAACTCCTGGGAGCTGTGTCTTTATGATCAGTGGGCACCTGGGCCATGACTCTTGTCCCGCCGCCACCTGGTTTCCTGTAATTCTGGGAAGTTTTGCAGCCTACTTGATGGGGACTGTCCAGCTCTGGGGCAAAGGAACTCTGGGGACAGACAAGTTGATGTAGTAGAGGGAGAGGAAGGAGAAAGTGAAGAGTAGGGAGTGGGTGAGGCACTTACAGCAGGAGGAGATGGGCACGCTGATGGCCAGGATCACCCAGGCGATGTCCATCTTGCTCAGGCAGATGGTGGCTCTGTGCTGGGGTTTGTCCCCTTCGGCCACATGGGAGATATTCCCTGCTGTTCCAGGCTTCCAGGTCCCAGCAGGAACCAGGCGGTTGAGGAAGTTTCCTGTGGCTGTGGACACCACTGTGGAGAGAGGACTGGGCAACCTGTTGGTCATGGTGGGGGTGGCTGTAGCCTCTTCCTTGGCTTGGAAAACAGTGCTTTCTGAGCCCCTGGTGGGGTGGACTGGGGCCTGCGAGGTTGAGGATGTTCCCTGAGGAATCCCCTTGGAAGGGGCTGAGACACTGGCATTGAAGGCAGCCTGGGTGGGCCCCGCGGTGGCCGTGAAGACCCCATAGCTGGTAGATGGAGGTCTGTTGGTGCCAGGGGTGACAGTAAGCCAGGAGTCACTGTGGCTGGGGCCATCCTGTGGGTCACCGCGGGGGCGCTGAGAAGGCACTGGGGCAGGTTGTGGGCTGGCAGGGGCACCCGAGGCTACTGTGGTGTCCGGCTCCCCTCCTTGGCTGGTGAAAGTGGAACCACCCCCCTGGTTTGCTCTGCTAAGGCCTGGCTTGTCCTCTGCAGGCACAAGGGGGTTGGTGGGTGGTGCCCACGAGGTCCTGCTGGGCGCCATGGTTATGGCCACTGTCTGGGGCTGTGGTGAGGAAGAACCCCAGAGTGGGTTCCTGGGGGCGAGGGTGGAGGGGTCAGCTTCTACGGACCCTGTAAAGTTGCCTTTGTAGATCTGAAAGATTTTCCCCAGGGGGCGCTTCTGCCCCAGATGTGTGGAGCTCTGATTTCGTCCCCGCTGGCCTTCTTTCCTCCCAGAGTGGCCACCAGGTGCAGGCAGGACAGAGCGTGATGAACTGCTAGCCCCCTTTCGGGAAGAGCCTGGGGGCCTGGGAGGCCTGCGCGTGGTAGCCCGAGTGGGTGCTGTGCTGGGATAGCTGGTGTCTCCTGTTGGCTTTGTCAGCAGGATTGTGGGTGCAGCCTCCCCCTGGGGGCGGCCCTCTGAGTGGGAAGGTGTGGTTGCCATGGCAGCAGGAAGGGGGCCTGTGGGCAGGGGGCCTTCAGGATGTGGGATGGCTGCTGTCGCCATGATGGTGGAGATGGTGTTTGTAGGAGGGTGTCCATCTGGATGGGGTGCTGTCATTGCCATGGGAGCTGCAGCCTGTGAGGAGGGTCCATCCGGATGGGGGGTCAGTGTCACCACAGAAGTGGGGGCAGTTGCCATGGATGAGTGTCTGGTAGAGCTGAGGGATGCTGTCACCATGGTGCCTGGGGTGGTGCCTGAGGGGAGGACCTGAAGAGATTCTCTGGGAGATGGTTCCTGGATGGCAAATACCAGTGCTTCGGTCAGTGCCAAGATCAGGAGGAAGCCTTGAGAAGAAGACAGAGAGAAGAGGTGAAATGCCTGGGGAGTAGCTCAGTCTGGACCTTCCTTACCCATGAACCTATAAAGCCCTGGGAACTCAAAGGAAACATTGGGAGCATTCTGGAGGTCCACGCTCCCATCCAGACCCTCATCAGATACAGGATCATGTGAAGTTGAACAGGTCTGTTAGGTGCTACCCAGCACTTGCCGGGAAGAGGCAGCTAAGCTGAACCAGGACCATCCTTTGCTGAATGCCTGTGCGAGCAGCTTCTGAGAACAGGCTGGGCTGGGTGTGGGAAGAAGACTGTGGCCCCTGAGTGTCTGCTACCCCTCTGCAGCCAGGGGTCGGTCAAGGCCAGGGTGATCAAAGGGAAGCTGGCAGCTCTGTGTGAGCCAGCCTGAGTCACATGTAGAACTCTTACGTGAGCAGAGCTGACTAACTCTTATGCCCTTTCGGAATCTCCTATTTATGGACTGGACAAAGGCACAAATGGTCAGATCTCTCTTTATTCAGGTCCAATCATGAGACAAGTAAGGAGGACCTCTACCCTCTCCTTTACCTTGGAGGACAAAAAATAAACAAAAAATCTCTGGCTCTGGGTGAGCTCAATCCTAAAACAAGGCAGAGACCTCTCAGTGCCACAGAGGACAGGCAGGGGGGACAGGGGTCCAGAGGGTGACCAGATCCCATGCCCATACAGCACTTAGCACAGAGTGTGGAAGAGACGACGCACTCTATGATCGCCAGCTGGTTTTATGGTTGTCATTACTGTTAAGTGCTTTTCCTATGGTGCTCATGTGGCTGAACTCTGTCTGTGGAAAATCACTTGTGATGCCCAGCCTTTTGAGTTGGAGGACCTCTTTTGAGCATTAAAAGAAAATCATGAATTTTGCATGATGATCAGTGTCTATGCTTTTGGCTCACTGAGAAAATGCACAATGACAAAAACCTATACATTTAAAAACACTTCTAAATATATGTGGATTTTATGAATCACAATAGCACGTGCCACATTTTACAAATAACATGCCTCATAAATATGAGACAGAGTCTGTTCAGATTATAAACTGGAAGACTGGCCACCCCAGTAGAATATACGGACTGAGAAGAACTGGTCTCCACTGCTGAGGCTGCTAAGGTCTGACTCTGACCTGTGAACTCCTCCTTGTTCTTATGAACCCGTTCCTGCTCACTCTCATGCCTTTCCTTCAGCTCTGCTGGCCACCGAGGCAATGGTGGAGATCTGTCACTATCTGATAACTCTTTGAGAGCTGCCACACCCCACCAGATTCAAGCAAGACGAATGGCCAACGCAGGGGCCCTGGCAGTGATTTCTGCCTGTGTGGGATGGTCGGCAAAGCTGCTGACAAGGGAAGACAGGGGCCCTGGTGAGCTTTCAGAAACAGAGAAGGGGAGATCATCCTGTGGCATTCCTTTGAAATGAGGCCCAGGATCTCCACTGAGGCCACCTCCAACTTAACGTGTGGGGAGGAGTCTGAGCATGGACCAGCTCCCCTCACCTTGCACTTCTAAATTAGTGGGTGGAGGGAGGCCAAGGGACTACAGATTGAACAGACTGTAGCACACACCAGCTCTAGGACTAACAGTCTGCCCTAAGCAACCTATTTTTTTCTAAACTTTCATTGGTGATCTAAACCATGTATCAGCAGTAAGCTCTGTTTATTCAAGTCAATCCTAAAAGCTGTTTACTGAGCACCTGTTCCAGCCCGTCTTTCACGTTCGATTTGATCCTCACAACCACTCGACAGGGTAGGAAACTGAGATCTCAGGTAGATTAACTAACATGTTCAAAGTCCCACAGTAGCCACAGAATATGGAACCGAACTGTGTCTAAGATGCCTGCTCTCCCTGGTCAGCCACCAGCAGTGATGCAGCAGGAGGAAGAAGCCGACAGCAGGCTGCTGTGCTTGGACTCCTCTCTTGCAGCTGAACACCACGGCTGTTCTTACGGCTGGAAGTCTTGACCTCTGATGTTTTGAGGGACATTCCCTCATGAGCCTCTGTTTTACTCATGAGTTCCTTGGTTCCACGTAAGTGTTAAAGATTGAATTGTTTCTCCCAAATTCATATGTTGAAGCTTTAACCCCTAGCACCTCAGAATGTCACTGTATTTGGTGACAGGGCCTTTAAAGAGATTTTTAAGTTAAATGAGGCCATTAGGAGTGGTCCCTAATCCAACCTGACTGGTGTCCTCATAAGAGGAGATTAAGACACAGAGGGATACAGAGATGCTTGTGCACAGAGGAAAGGCCACGTGAGGACACGGGGAGAAGGTGGCCAACCTCAAGTCAAAGGGGGAGGTCTTAGGAGAAACCAATCCTGTCAGTATCTTGATCCTGGTCTTCTACCCTCTAGAACTGTGAGAAAATAAATTTCTGTTGTTTAAGCACCCCAGCCTGTGGCACTTTGTTACGGCAGCATGAACTAAGACAGGTGTCTTACATTACAGATCCCTCAGAAGAAGGAAAGGGAGAGACCAGGGCTTGTGTGAAAGTAGTTTATTTTGGGAAGTGATCCAAGCGGACAACCATGGGGGTGTGAGATGAGTCAAACAGAGAAAATCAATCTGAGGGCAGGTTATGAGTTGATCATGGTGAGCAACTCCATTTCCTGGGGACCTCTGAGGGGCTGAGTAGGCCGCACCTCAAGCTGTGTGAGAAGAGCACTCACTTACCCAGCAGCTCCCGTCTCCACTGGCCTAGGGCTGCTTCCCGGGTGCTCATCCCTCTGCACTTCCTCACTCCTACACAAGGCTCATAGCCCATGTGGCTGAATTAGAGAAGCCCTGGGCAGAGGGGCTGTCAGAGCATGCCTGTGCCCAGCTGGTGGCTGGTGTGACAGCTGGAGTTAAAATTAAGGGCCCAGAGGATTCCTGGGGCAGAACACCAGATGTGTTGGAGACAATCAGAAACGATAGACCAAGGACATGGCAGTCTTTTGGCAGCAGCACCAAGGGCAGTGCAAAGCTTTCAGAGATCCTGAATGATCCCAGTGACAGGCCAAGGGGTGAGAGAGGAGCCACCCTGGCCTCCAGAAGAACTTCTGCAGCACTCTAGAGGCTGCAGAGTCTTTAAAAGACTTGGGGAGAGAAATGTTCCTGACTTTCCCACCAGGAGCATTCCAGGGGCTACACTCCCTCCCCCCGCTGGGAAGTATGTGACTATGATCTTTCTTGCTCAAAGACTTACAGTGTAAGTACATGTTTGCCTTTTTTCTTTTTTTCCCTTTAAGGTTATCAGCATCCTGTGAGGTTATTTTTGTCTCTGTAAGGACTGTTAAATTACCTCTCAGGCCTTTCTTCAGACTTTAGAGTAAACCTTTGTTTGGTACAATGAATGGATACTGTCATCCTGGGTGCACAGTTTTCATTTGGAGGATGACATTTAACGGTCACATTGAGGGGGTGGGGGGACTAGAGGTAAATTCCTTCATTCCACAGAAGAGGCAATGGAAAGAGCAAAGTGACTTGTTCAAGAACACAGAGCAGGTTGGGGACACAGCCTAGACCACAGCAATTATTTCAAAGCAACTTTCATAAAAATTGCCACAGTGTTGCACTGCCCAAACACCTCCTTCAGCCTCCACTGTTACCTTCACTAAGGAAATAAGACCTGACTTTACCTCTCCTCCTTGGCATAAAAGGTTAATAACTGAATGGAAGAGCACACACTGTCACAATAACTGTGCAAGGCCTTCAACCTGGGGCTCCCCTAACAGATGCAAATTTTCATTCAAGTCCCTTTGTGTTGGCCTGCACACTCCTCCCCCCACAAGCTGGGGCTACCGCCTCTCTGAATATCATTTGCATAGATTTGCATAATAGTCTCTGGAGGCTCTAATTCCAAATATGTGAGAGAGACTAAACTAAAATCTAGCTTGACATGCTTTAAATGTGGAACTGATTTTTAAAGCATCTTGGAATAAGGACAAGTGTGGGGAGTGGAAACTCACAGACTGATGGGTGACCAGATGTCGCAGGAAGGCCTCCTCCTACCTAGAAGTCCAGTGCATACATGATCTCAGGGCCCTAGGAAAGGAAAGGTCCCCCCTCTTCTGTTTATTTGGTTGGCTGCCCACAGTGCATATTGGGCATGATATCTGCATCTGGCAAAGGCAAGGAGGGAGTTGGTGAAGAGAGAAATGGCTAATTGAATGTACTGAGGTGCTTCCTATGTACTATGCAGTGCTTGAAGGGCTAAGCCTCTACTGATATATTTAATTCTCATAACAACATGATGAAACAGGTACTATTATTAGGTCGCTGTTACAATGGGGAAAAAGCTGCACAGAGAGGTGCAGGAACCTGTCTCCCTTCACACAGTTGGAGAATGGTTAGCTGTTATTTGACCTGGCACCTTGGCTCCAGAGTCTACACTTTTCAACACTTTCACTCAGGGTTCTGCTTGGCACCACACCTTTCCCCATCCATCAGGCTGCTCTGCACATTCAAAAGCAATGATCACAGTCTTTTGGGAACTGATTTTCTATTACTGGTCTTTTGGCTTTTCTTTCTTCTTACCTGTTTTCTTTCAGGGCTGTATATGACACATTTGATATTCTTTTTATTTTTATTTATTTAAAAAAATTTTTTTTAATGTTTTATTTATTTCTAGGAGAGAGAGAGAGACAGCGTGAGCAGGGGAGGGCCAGAGAGAGAGGGAGACACAGACTCTGAAATAGGCTCCAGGCTCTGAGCTGGCAGTCAGCACAGAGCCCGATGCGGGGCTCGAACCCACGAACCGCGAGATCATGACCCAAGCGAAAGTCGGACGCTTAACCGACTAAGCCACCCAGGCGCCCCTGTTCCCTTTTATTTTAAAGATCAAACATGAACTCCTCATTTCTCAGACCATTTACTTCAAAAATATGCATCATTGCCTTTAGGGTGTGCTGGACACATGCTCTTAAGAGGTAACTTATGCTTATGACCTTGGCTTCTTGATGAAATCAGGGAGTTTAGGGTGCAAATCTTTGCTGTTACCC